TGTGTTAAGGGAGGAGCGCTGGACCTTCCAAGACATTTCTGAGGTATTACAGCCCTGCTCAAAGCCCGCAGCTGTGCACAGCACGAGCAAAAAAAGCAAAAGGCAGGACGCGGCCTCCCAGCTCGGATCGGAATGCGCTGCTAAAGATCTCCATCACAGCAGACCTGATAATATTGGTGAAGACCATAAACACAGCAGTGATTAAAGAGCACTTTGTTGGTGAAAGGGTGAAAGTCTGGAAGAAAAGTGCTCGGAGCACTAGTTCTGAACATTTATGTACATTCTGTTGATTTGTGACTTCTTTGTTACATGCTTTATTTAGTCCGTGACAAATGGCAACAAATAAGTTGTCATGTAATTATGCAGTGAGTAATGGAGAGAATCAGCTTCACCACATCAAAAAGCCCTTCTGAGTTGCACAAGACTTCCTTATGGTGGAATTGTTTTATAACATTGTTCTTTTGGCTTCTATCCTCATCCACTCCATGTTCCAAAGGCACTGATACTTGTTTTTCTTGAACCTCAGGCAATTTGTGGCGAGTCTAAACTACTCTGTTACTTTTATGGCCATGTGCCATTTGGCAGCTTTTTGTGGTTGTTATGGTGTAAGAGAGAAATTGACATACTTGCAGTGTTTTTCCCCACTCCTTGAAAAAAAACAAAGTCAGCTACAGAGGTGGTGCCCTTTAAGTTGAACCTCATTGGTAATTAGAAGCTGTCCCAGATGGTAAATGTTTTAAATTATAAAAAAAAAAAAAAAGTACTTTGGGAAAGTGCAAGAACTGCATTTTGTTTTGATATAAAACAGAAAAGGAACATAGACCACAAAAATGCCATTTCAAAGCTGACATCTGCAGTCATAAGCAACTGAATCATAGTAATGTGAGAATTCTGCTGTTAATGAACCACCAGCTGAAATGTTGAGCTAAAGGGAAATTCAGGCTTATTGTTTTATTCGTCATTTGGGGATTTGTAGTAGGGCCAGGCTGATGCATTGTTTGACTGATCTGATCGACTGATGTTTAGGACTTCTTGGCATCGGCAGAAATAAAACCAATAATGAAACAATAGTGTCTCTTATTACTGTGTTAAATGTTGTATGAGAGAAACTACTTCAAACAAAAGGCAGAAATACACAAAGCACACTAGGGAGTGCGAATAGGTAAGTTTATTCACTTCACAGCTGCACTATTCAGGTATGAAACACAAAGGAATTGTTAGAACTTAACCTTTAAATGATCTGCCTTGAAAAAGACATATATACAACATAATCATCAAAAGACACAGGCCTTAATTTTTCATTACTTCTACTTTTTTTTAAGGGCGTCTTTTAATATTTTAAGACCTAGTAAGTTTCTGCAATCACATCTTTAAATACCTAATTAACAAAAACTAATATCTGCATAATTTAGCTGTATAGAATGATTAGCCATCTAAAATGATATGTTAGTATTTTTGGCTAGCTTCTTAAAATCAATATTATTAGTGACATCTTTATTATTGGCCAAGTTCTAATATTGGCTTGTGTGTATGTTTTGTTAGTAAGTCAAATTATTTAAATTAGCTAATTCAATTCAATTGGCCTAATGTTATAGCTATTAATAATTAAACATATGTCTGTTTCTATTATTGGTCTACTGTCAGGATGCAAACTAGTACCTTTTGAATAGAAAGCAACAAATAAAAGTCGTTGATTAAAAGCATTAATGTAATTTGGGTCAAACTGATTACCAGCTAAACTGACCAACAGGATGCTGTAGTGTTTAAAATAATTGGCCAGATTTTGAGATTTTGTTTATGAAGCAATTTGTATTATTGCTGCTATGGCAGTTGGTGTTGAAAGGCTTTCAGGTAAGTCAAAAAGTCTTGAAAGAGCAAAGTCAGGTTAGGTTTGCCACCTGGTGGCAGCACAGAGCTGCACTTTCCTTATTCATGCAAGCTCTTTGATAAATGCTGAGAGATCCCCATCTCGCTGTACTATCACAGGAAAGCGCTGATCTTGCCTATGTTCTTAATTATGTCACTGATTGATCAGAATGACAAACAGTGACACGTCAGTAGAGAAATATTCACTATCAGAAAGCACTTGCTAACTCATTATGAACACAAAGCTCTAGTTCCAGCACTGGCTCTTTAACACAGTGCTTTGTAGGTCAGGGGGTCAGAGCAGAGAAAAGGTGACCTTCAGGGGAGCAGGGGTCAATGCAAACTACATATAGTATAGTTGGGATTACCATGAAATCTGAAAACAAGTTTCAGCTTGTACAAAAGAAACTCAGTGACTGCTGTAAGACAGGACAACACTGTTAATGTTCAGTATGGAAGAATTTACATATAATATTGGTCTGCAGTACTAGCATTGGAAGGTTGCAGTGTTCAAGCTGTTTGAACACAATGGTACTAAACTACTGAGACTGTGGTAGTTCAGTGTTCAAGGTTCTGAGCTAAGTTTAAAATGTGGGTCTCTTGAGCAACACCCTCAAGTACTCATCCATGTGCTTTGCTTGTATTCCATTTCAATTCTAAGTTGGATAAGAGCATTAGCCAAATTAATGTAAATTGTATTAATCTATAGCTTGGGCAGCGTTAATCCACATTTGTTCTGCATTTCCTCATATTCTAGTTCTCCCTACATTTATTGTCTTAAAACCTGGCATGGTCATATCCCTCACATGTAAGAGAATGGATACATGAGTTGAAGCAGTATTGGTGGTCAAGTATGGTTTGGGTTTGGGCAGAAATTTGTCAGATGCTTGGAATCGAATTCAAACCTTTGGGCTGAGTTGCTTTGGGTTGGGCTCAGAGAAAACGTTCTTGAGCTGCGGTCACGTTTAAAATGTCAGGCCTATTGGTGGGTCCACGTGGAGCATACTAACATATAGAGAGACAACACTGGGCTATTTACTGCTTTACAGAATGTGTAATAAAACGGGTGCAAGATTTAAAAAGACACATTTGGCATTATATACATACAGTATACTATATACATTCATATAGTATTATAGACAGTAAAGAGCTAAGTGATATGGGCATTTCTACTGTGATACAGAAATAATAAACAGGAGAAAAGTCTAAATAAAATTCCAAACTATTTAGCTAAGGTTATTAAAAAGTACACCTAAGCGTTTCTCAAAAGAATCCTTTTTAATACCACATGTAGTTTTTTACAATGTTTTTGTTTTATTACTTTTGGGAAAACATAGTTTAATGCATCAGTACCTGGAGTATGGTTCATTCCCATCTATGCGCTCAAACTGTGTTATGATAAAATGAATGACATTAAATGCTGAATTACACCTAATGCATGGGTGTAGCGTGCTCTTCTTTACATGTGACTAAATTCTAACAGAACCTTCACGGGACCCCTGCCACATGCGTTTACCCCAGTGTCCAGTTCAGGTTATTGCTATGTCTCCTCACTGTCAGTACTTCTTTTGATTATATGCATGCTGTATATTTATTCCAAATAATCTGAACACTGGGGGTGGCACCATATGCCACTCTTGTAGGCCTATGGTTCTTATAATAGCATAGTGGCATAGAACCAGCAGGGCAAAAATGTTTGTGTGTGTGTGTGTGGATGTTGTCATGCCTTATTGTGGTTGCAATTATGGTCTTAGCCCTATAATGTGGGTGGTGCACAGGCAGAAAGAGCAAAGAGTGTTATTACTCAAAGACAGCTGAAACCTGGTTAAATTTGATTATTCTCACAGGCCTCTGCTGAGAATGTAAAAACTGAACACTACTGAATCGTATCGCTTCATAATTAATTTGATGATGCTTGTAAATGATAAGTTCGACAATTACATTTGAGTGCAAAATTATACACACCCCACTGATGCTAAAAAAGGAAATGTTCATCTCAAGTGTATTGTACTTAAAGTGGAAGAAAATCAATATATTTTCCAAAAAAAAAATAAAAAAAATTTAAGTTGTGATTGCATAAGCATTCACCCCCATTGCTGTGAAACTCCTAAATTATCTCTAATGCAACTATTTGCAATCAGAGATAACATAATTAGTTGAAAGGAGTCCTCTTGAGTGCAATTAAAGTGTCACATGATCTGAATATAAATAACCCAGACTTTGTTAGAGAACATATCCAAACAAACAGCATCATGAAGACCAAGGACCAAGATCAAAACAAATCCAGGACAAAGTTCAAGAGTTTGCTTATAAAAAAATAACCCAAACTTTGAACATCCCAAGGAGCACCATTAAATCTCTTATTTTTAAAAAAAGGAAAGAATATGGCACACACCGCAACTCTACTGAGAGGAATCTGTCCGCTAAGTCAGTGAATGAGTAAGGAGTGCATTAGTCTGAGAAGTAAGCTAGCAAGCGGTACTCTTAACATGATGCTACCGACACCATGCATCATTGTGAGGATGCTTATGGGTTATTTTGTGTAGATTCATGACATATAATCCAAATTAAACCCATTTCAGTTCCAGGTTGTTTGTTGTTTGTTGTAAGCAAACAGTTAATAATGAATAAGATAATCCTCTGAAATAAGGGATGATTAGCAAAATGATTTAAAAGCAAATATATACTTCAGTGATGTAAAGTCACAAAATGTTTATTATTCCATCTATTTTCTGTACAGCTTATCCCACACAGGGTCGGTCACAGGTAAGCCTGGAGCCTATCACAGGGAACTTGGGGCACAAGGCAGGGGACACCCTGGAAGGGGTGCCAACACATCTCAGGGCACAATTGCACTTACACACACACATCCATCCATTTTCTGTAACACTTATCCTATAGAGGGTAACAGGGTAGCCTGGAGCCTTTCCCAGGGGACTCAAGGCACAAGGTGGGCAACACTCTGGACAGGGTGCCAACCCATTGCAGGGCACAATCGTGCACTCACACACACTACGGACAATTTGGAGAAGTCAATCAGCCTACAACGCATATCTTTGGACCGGGGGAGGAACCTGGGGTACCTGGAGGGAATCCCTAAAGCACGGTGAGAACATGCAAACTCTGTGTGCACAGGGTGGAGGTGGGATTCAAACCCACAACCCAGGAGGTGCGAGGCAACAGTGCTGACCACTAAGCCACCGTACCCCCTAATAATAATAATAATAATAATAATAATAATAATAATAATAATAATAATAATAATCAACCCAACCTATTAATTCTAAAAGTGCTGCAATGAACAGTGCAGTCAGGCTTATCAGCACTGTGTCTTTAAATACGTGCCGACACATACTGCGCATGCGCAGTCGGCGCTCGCCTCAGGCAGTTTGCTAGCGTAGTTAGCTTCTCCTCTTAGCTTAGCTGAGCTGCTGCTGTGGGAGGCTGATGGAGCCCAGGCTCGGGGGTGGCCAGGCTGACTGCGAAAACATTTCTGACCCACTGTGTGGTTTTCCCTGCATGGAAAAGAAGGAGTTGTAGCTGTACTGCTGGTTAAGGCTTTCGCCCTGAAGCGCGGACTGAAGTCGAGAGGGAAAAATGTTGAAATCCGTTATTTCTCCAGTTACTTCAATTCCCTCAGCGCTACAGAAACCATCAGCAGTAACCGTAACAACATCCGTGTTATTGACTGCTGCTGCTGCTGCTGCTCTCTGATTCCGCAGAACACCCGGAGAGGATGAGTACTTTATTAACCTAGCTTACTTTATCGCAGGCAGCTCATAGTGAAGAATAAACTGCCAGCAAGACGTTTAAACGCGAGCTTAGCTGGTGATAGACTGGGCACTTGTTTATGCTTTAAAATGGCTGCTGAGAAGCTGAAGTACAGCTGATTTGGTCTGAAGATGCTCTGGGATATTGGAAGGCCATGTGTCTGACACAGAACAATGTGTGACTTTGAGGATTGGTGCAGTATTGAGGACTTTTCCAGCAGGAGGTAACGCTGGCTAACAGGAAATTCATCCTCTTGATCATTAAAAAAAAAAAAAAAACACAACAATGAGGCAAAACCGGTGGCTTTCAGATCTGAGCAGATTTGATTCCAATGACTTTCTTTATTTCTGAAGGATCTTGTGGACATGCTTGGCTTTTTTAAAATTTTTTATACACCCTTTGAAAGAAGACTGGGCTTACAGAGAGATGTGTCCTGTTGCTGAAGCCTGACTGGATTCCCTTCCTAATTGAAACAATCTGGAGCTGCTGAGAAGGGCCTGGGTATAATCCTGCAGAAATGGCTGGGAGGAAAAGGCTGAGGACTGAGCTGTGTTGTCTCACACGGATCACTGGGCTGCAGGGTATGAACACGTACCTGCTGCTTTGTGCGATGTTGTGCCTCGTGCTGGCCACAGACGCGTCTCCGTCTAAATCCTGCGACAAAAACTGTCTGTCTGGGAAATGCGTGAACGGATCGTGCGTGTGTGATCGGGGATGGGTCGGGGATCAGTGTCAGCACTGCCACGGCAGATTCAAGTGAGTATACCTGAGGTGCACTGGCTCAGATCACACGCAGCCCAATAATCCGAATGAGAGCAGTTCATGTATACACGTTAATCGGATTAAGGGAAACCGATTTGAATGAATTTACTATCTGACTGATCGAGGTGGGATGTCCTTATAATAAAGTCAGGTTTACACTGTACAGTTTTCAGCACATTTCTGTTGTTCCAAACAAAAACAAATCACAAACCGAAAGCCGGCGACGGAGTTCTGGCGGTGTCTGAAATCTCAGGAGCGATATGACAAAAGTATCGTATCACGATTCTCAGAGGCACTTTTATGATACACGATATGTATCACGATGTGTAGGCTTGCTAACAAACTGACAGCAAAAAGGTAGTGTTGTAATGTTTTAAAAAGTGTTATAAATAACAATAAAAATAACATTCTTAATTTTATTATTAATATACAATTATTTCTGTTTTTTTAAAAATGCGTTATTAATAAGCTAATTTGTAATAAATGTATTTTTATTTTTTATTACTTAAAAATAACACTTTATTTAAAAAATCAAAAAGAAACATCTGTAGATTTATTTATTTATTTATTTATTTATTTATTTATTTTTAGCATTTTACAGTTTTAAATGACTGAATTTTAACATTGCATCAGCAGCTTCTACTCAGTTTGTAATTACTTATTATAAATGAATAAAATTCTTTATTTTTAAATATTAACAATGAATTAAAAAACACAGAATTGATCGCGATCTTGATGCTATATGGTCGTATTGCCCGGCTCTTGGAGGAAGGCATAGCATAACCTGAAATTTGACGCACTAAATGAAATGTTTTGTTTGAGCAAGTGGTCTTTTAAAATACTCACTTGCTCCCAATAATTATTGTGATGATGCTGCCTTGCCTGCATGCCTGGCTCCTCGTACAGTGAGTTACCAAACTACCACACGTACTAATGGACAGAAAAAAATAGTCTATTGAAGACAGAGAATTTCATGTTGTGCTCTCGTACCCAGCTGTGATGCCTCCAAACTCCTCTTCTCCTCCTCCATCTTTTAAAGCACGTCTTCTCATGGCATAACATTGCCATTATTACAGCGAGGGCTCGTTCCTGTTTAGACGGCCCTGTTTTCTGCAGTCCGGATCACGCTGATTGACCACCCAAACAGAATGTAGTCATTTTCTTTAATCGCAGGTCTGTCGTTCGAGGATTTCGTCCGGTATTCTGACACGGAGGACATGTTACTGCACAGCCTGTTCCAGAATTTGGCTACAGTTTTATTGGCATCATCTCACAGTGTGATGGGTTATAATCTTGACAGTCTACTGAAATCGCAGTGTGAGAAACAGGCTTTAGATAGAAGAATAACAGCAGTGTAAACCTTTTGTGTCTGATTTACTTTCTGTTGTTCTGTGCATGTGTATGTGAGTCTCATTGCGCTCCCTGTGCAGTAAAACACGGTTTAGATTCTTTAGGTTCTAGATTGTAGTCTATGTAAAATAATTGTGAGGTTGGATGGGTGCTGGTTTGGGTGTGAAACCAACATTTGGAGGCAGATGCAGGACAGGAATTGACCTAAAGTTGAGCGTTTAATATTCACCAGACATTCAGCAAGGATGCAGAACTTTTTTTTTTTTTTTGATAGAACTTTTATTTCTTGTGCAGTTATTGCCAAACAATGATCTTTCATGTTGGCACTGTTAGGTGAGTGGAGGCATTATACCAATGCATAATGTGTGCAGCCAGAGCATTCTTGTTCAAGATGGTCAGGCAAATATGCAACGCTGAGCAACTTTACTGCAGTCACACACGCTTCTTCTCGCTGTCTGTTTAAAAATTGCACCTTGATCATGTTTTGAAATAATATAAAAATCCTTTAGAAAAACCAAAAACAAAACTCAAAACACTGACAGGACTTGCATGCTTCTCATTACTTACACCATAAACGGAGACTGTTTACAGAGTGTCCAGTTTTGGATACATAACAACAGCTCATTCAGAATCTGTAATCGAAACAAATTTATTCGGAATGGTGAAAAACTTTGCATGTAAACAGAGCCGCTGCTGTCTTGTGTTTTCGCTTTCCTGTGTTTCAAAGTCCCTGATGCATCTCTTTCTTGTCGCTCGTATCCTGGATCATTATTTCCATAAACAGAAGCAGCTCTGCGCGCGCGCGCACACACACACACACACACACACACACACACACACACACACACACACACACACACACGGGTCTGTGGGTGAGAACCAGGCTTTTAGCATGTATCAGGGTTTCAAGGGTTTTCAAACCTACATCATGAACGAGAAGGCTCTGATATAAATAACTGGACCACTGTAATATGGTTGATCACTTTTGTTTTGATATATGATTCTTTCTTTGCGCAAAAACCTCCCCATCATTTTAGTGAAGGATACAGCTATCCAGCGGTGGCTAGTCGTGATATTGGATGAATGAATCTAGAGTCTGGGCTAAAATCTCATCTATCAACAGCTATGAAACTATTAGTGTCGAGCAATGCATTCTATTACTATGCCTTATTGAGGACATAAGAAAAATCATGGAGGAAAAACTATCACAAACGCGCACACACACACATACACACACGCACACACACACACACACACACACACACACACACATACATACATACATACATACATATTTAATATTTTTTATTATTTTTTTCCCTCTCCTATAAAGTCCATAATGACCTACTAGGTTCATGCGTTTTTTTTTTTTTTTGTTTTTTTTTCTTCGAATACCAAACATAGTTACCAGAAAAGTTGTAACGCTTTTGTTCAAATGAAAATACAGTAAACTTACCATTCTGTCATTTCTCACTTCATGTAGGGTGGTTTTCGCTGGATGTGGCTTCTATACCAGCCACCCCTCCACCTGTCCTGCTGTTTTCATATCAGAGCTCTGGCGATCAGCAGACACTTATTACATGTCCAGTTCCAGCATCCTCACAGTAACTCAACAAACTCTCCGTACACCTCTTTTGCCAAAACATCAAAAGCTCGATGACGGCCTGCTTTTGTGCCCCGGATGTGTGTGCTTCAGTCAACATAACGTTCGTTCACAGTAAATATAGGTCAGTGGATCGGAAAATGTGTACTAACCGATCTGAAACTTTTATACCATTTCAGGTCAGGTGCAGATGTTGTTTCAGGTTTTTGGTGTGCTTCTTCCTGATAAAAGTTATGTTTTGGTTCTCACAGTTAAGAAAAATGGACCAGTTGTGATATATCCGCTCATAGCTGTGTTAATCTCGTACCAGTCTCCGTTGAATGCCTCCTGCTGATATAGAATCTTCATATCATAATTCCATTACCTTTTAATCCTATTTTACGACGTCGCAATAATGAATATCTTAATGTAATTATAACACGTTTGTCTTTCCCTGTATTTTTGTAGCAGTTTAATCCTAGGCGAACCTCGGCAGGTTGTGATATGGATTTCAGCCTCTTCACTGCTGTAACACTGCACACGTGTCGTTTGTTTCCTGGCGGTCAGTTACTAGCTCCTCAGCTTAGATAACTGCAACAGTAGTTATGACCACTTCACTTTGTGAAGCAGAGAATATTTGATTAGCTCACTGCTGTTGGCACTTCTCAGGCCTTAAGGTGGCTGGAAACATTAAACTTTAAGAACATTCAAACTGCATTAAAGCTTATGGGGAAAATACATA